ATGGTGAATGTTCTGATGCAGTAGCCTCATTGATAGTGCAATGGTACGGCTTAACACTCTGGAGTATTCTCGGTATTTGTCTGTTGTCAACATCCTAAAGTGCCTGCATTCACTCCTTAGGACAAACACATGCAGCTATTAGCCTATGTAACCAGTCAAAAGTACAAAAACTCACTTATATGTGATTGCATCCCATACACCTTCATGACAGGTTGCTAGAAACTGTTCAGCGTTGACAAGATATTCGAAACAAAATTCAAAGATTTGATGAAGGCCACTTTCCAGCCATTTTCTACCCCCCTTCCCAATGTTTTTTTTGCTTGGAATGGCAGTCAAAGCCCACAAGGAACCAAAATTCCATCCCAGAAAGTATGGATTCCATCAGCTATTCCATGGAATCCATCCCCCCGAAGTATGGAATCCATCAGCTATTCCATGGAATCCATCAGCCATTCCATGGAATCCATCTGGAATTTCTGGAATCCACCCCCCCTTCCATGGATTCCATATGGATTAAGCTGGAGAGGGTAAAGTACAGCCTCATCTGACAACTCCCAGACCTCCAAGTCACTCTGTTTATTGATTCCAGGTGCTGCAGCATGTTCACGATGTTTTATCAGTGATACTAGTACTGGAGGAGCTAAAATATCCTTATCTAAGCTGTTTGTGTCATTGTCAAATAGGGAATTGAATTTTTCTGGTGAACGGCTTGTGTGATGGCTGGGAGTGAAGGGCAGGTTACAATTTGGACCCCTTCCACGAGCAGCAGAGACAGGGAGTTGTTGTGATGGCATAGCATCATAGGGGCAAGAGGCAAAGGGAGCTGAGGACACAGCTAACACACTCTTATCTATTCAGGGCAGTTACGCTCAAAATATCTTGGAGACATCTGAAAATATATAATTTACCTGTGGATACCTGCAGATAGTCTGGGTAGTTACCCGAATCCATCAATTGTATCCAAATATGGGTGGATTTTGGGTTTACCCAGGATTAGCCTATCCATGACAGTCCCTAGCCCCCACCCACAAGTGAAGAAAACCAGAAATGGTCAAAACAAATATTGTAGCTTCTGGAATGTGTTCAAATTATGTTCTGAGGTACTCCCATTGTGGAGATGTGGAGTAAAGGATTTTTAAAAGTGTTAATTTTTTTTGGGTTTCTGCATTTGTCTCCACAGAAACAAAACCAAATAAATGATTTCAGTATATTTGGAAAGCTAAGAGAAAGGGCTACAACTATTGTGGGAAAAATGAACCAAAAGGAAGGTTTGTTCCCTAAAAGGGAATGTGAACCTGACTACAAAGTTTAGTGATAGACAACAAAAGTCAGACTTAGATTACAAGGTTTACTAAGAGACTACAAAAGACTACAAAAGTTGGACTTAGACTACAATTAAGCAGAAACCCTGCCAAACTCTGTACCAGTTGTGCCAAGCTCTGCCAAGCTTGGCAAAGTTCTGAGGATTCCTGCAGAACTCTGGCCAGTCCTGCAGGAATTGGGGGGGGGACTGAAAAGTACAGCTAATGCCTGGCTGACAGACTATATCCTCCAAGGAGAATGTGCCTGACATGGCTCCACCTAAGCAGGGACACTGTGCTTCCCTCCACACCTCTTCTGCCCCAACACTGCAAACATTCCAACATACTGATGTGAGAATATTTTGAGAGTATTTTGATGGTACATAAATTTTTCCCAAAATACCATCCACCAGGTATGTGATTGGTATGAAGATATATATTTTATTACCCATGCTGAATTATCTGATTAGTATTCGATTGTATTCAAATGTTTTTCCTCAATACTGGCTCACATACTAGAATAATACTTCTATCACAGTATCTTAACTTTGAACAAAATATCTTCAACATACTAATTGGCGAATATTTTAAGAGTATGATTCTGCAGGATAAGACACTTATGTGTTACTAGAGAGTAGATATGAAGGGAATATCTTGAAAGTATGAAAATATATTGCATTCTCATATTGAATACTAACACAATATGAAGCAGATCTATTCTATAAAACAACAGCAATGGTTCCCACAGGGCCCAACTATGGCTTCTGATTGGCTGAGCCAATTCAGTGATCTTGGGCATCTGCTTTTCCTCCACACGCACATCCAGTGCTCACTGCCAAGACGTGAGCTCAAGGTTTTTCATCCTATACAAGGTGCTTGGAATAGGGGGTCACAGCTAGTACTCATTAAAGATGACCAACATATTGAGATGCCAGTATTGTGCTAGTATCAACAAGAAACAAACAATACTGCCTGACAGGCATTTTGTTGGTATGGAAAAAGTATGAGAGTGAAAAATCTATATACTCTTTAAATATTGCAGGCAGAGTATCCAAATAGTGTGCTACAATATTTTATCATAATGTTTGAAAGCTGCATTTCATACTTTTAGGATAAAAGCATAATACTGCTGTATGGAAATTCAAAAAGTATGTAAAGGGTATGATATTGAAAAAAAAAAAAAAAAAAAAGAAATCAACAATTTTAATGTGAGGATTCAATACTAGAAGAGAAGTAATGAAGATATATCATATCAGTATCAGAAGGGTATACAAATTTCAACTAAGTAATTTTGAGGTGGGGATTGAATACTAGTTAAATACTTGAAGAGGAGTATTCAAAGTATATTATAATACTACACTATATAATATAAGAATGGTATCAGATAGGTATAGTAATACAAAATAAATAGTATTAGTGTGAGGATTAAATAGTAGTTGAATACTAGAAGAGGAGTATTGGAAGTATATCATGATAGTGTATAATATGCCATGAGAATGGTATCAAATAGGTATACTAACTCCAATGATAAGAAGAATTGTAGTTAGATGATGGTATAATGTGGATATAGAGATTGGTAGAATAGTATGATTAAAGTAGGCTAATAATACCATGCTTGTATGATGTTAAAGGAAAAGGCTAACAATGAGACAGTATCAAAAGTTTTTTATGATAGAAGATATCATCATACTAGAAAGAGTATTGAGTATATATTGTATTCAGGTATCTATGTATACACACATTCTGTATTCATGTATCCACATATACATATATTCTTGTATTCTTGTATTCTTGTATTCATGCATCCATATCATGTGTCATGGTTCTGTGCCACATGATGGTTGTGTCAGTTCACCTAGGTGTGTGTGAGTAGAGTTGTGAGCCAAGCTGGGAAGTATATGCTGTATGAAATTAAAGAAGTTCAATATATCAGTAATTTGATGTATGCATATAGGAAGAGAAACCTGGAATAAAATGGAATGAGTAAATTGATGATCAACAATGTTGTTAAAACCTTAGATGGGTGAAGGGGCTTGGCTATGGTTAAACATTTGGAGTGAAAGCCAAATAAAGAAAGCACTCCCCTCAGGCCTGGTCAAAAATTACTTGGGTTGTTCTGAGGTACTTCTGATTGCCTAGAATTGAAGTAATGTAAGATATTGTTTTATGAGGTCTTTATCATGCCCCACTGATTCCTGCCAGATTCCGGTCATTCCTGTGGAATCCGGCGGAATCCAGAGGAATCAAATTTGGCAGAGACACCAGCCAAAATGACATTCCGGGGGACAAATATTCCTCGGGAATGATGTCATTCCTGATTAGTAGCCGGAATGGTCCCCGGAATGGACAAAAAGGAATGACACCGGAATGCAATGACCGGAATTTACATTACTAATCAATAATATTAATAAACATTAATATGCCGATGCCCAAATCGAGCCTCGGCGTTTGCCGACGCTCGATTTGGCATCATCAAACAATCCACAAGCTTTGTCTTCTAACCACCACCACCATCGTCGTCGGGCACGCCACGTCACCACTCTCGCCAACGGCCACCACCAGCCACAACCGTCGCCGTCACCGCCCACCACCGTCACTGGCAACCCACAACGACGACAGCAGACACCAACCACGACGAAAACGAGGTGGCAACGCCACGTCACCAGTGCCCAACGGCTGAACGACCCCACGCCGTGTCGATGCCACCACCCACAATGGCCACCAACGAACGACGACGACGAATGACACAACCCACCCACAATTACGACGAA